TTAACTGATGGTATATATGGAGAGGACTATAATCAATATAATGAAACAAGGTATATGAAATGTTGAATGTGAAACTGATGATATGCCCTGTAAACTTTCACTCAATCCACAATAAAAACCTTAAAAAAAAAAACAAGATGGATTGTGTGTTTGAAAAAAAGAAAAAAAAATGGAAAAAACAAAACACACTAAAGATTGACAGGATATCACTCAGTAATAAAGAAAAATGAAGTTTGGTTACATGCCACAGCATGATGAACTTTGAAAACTTTACATGAAGTCTGTTAGTCAGAAAAGGACAAAAACGATCTTGCTCATATCAGAATAGGTATATATAGAGAGACCCAAGTTTATTAGTGGTTACCAGGGGTGGGAGGGGTGAAGCAGTGAGTTTCTGTTTCTAGTGATGCGAAATTTAACCAAGGATATCGGTCACATGATCATGATCAATGCAACCGATACCACTACACTGAGCATGGATAAAACATTAGATTGGCAAATGCTGTCATAGATATTTTTCAAAACCTCGTAATGGTAGGTTTTATAAATATTGATACCACATAAGTATGGGACATTTATACTTTTCCATACTTATTAACATTCTTAGAGCTCAGATTGACCTGGGTGTAACAATCCAGCTGAGTCAAGTTAACAGATTCTCTCAAGCCAGGGCCAGCCCCAGGTTAAGGCTCCTTTCAACCACAGTGCTGACTGTGCAGAGCAGACAGGATCCTGCAGTGGGCGAATACTGGGTCCCCTGGACTGCTGCCCACCCTCGACCACTGCACCTCCACTACGTACTCATCGTTGAGGCCACATCTCCTGCTGGTGGGGTTCCCGTACTTCCGGAGGGTGTCGGTGAGTTCTTGGTAGAGGGTGTCTCCAAGGCTTCGGGGGATGCCCTCCCAGGCCAGGATGAGGATAACGATGACAGCATTCTGGCAGTGGTGGCCTGCCCGGTGCCGCACCAGGCAGAGCAGCTTCTCCTCCAGCGTGTGCCTGCGGATCACCTGCAGAGATATGGGCAGGCAGCGCGATTAACCGAGGAGCCAGCCCCACACCTCTGTTGATCAGACCTGGTATAGGGCTGTAGGGCAGCATCCTGGGGAATATCAACCCTGGCAACAGTCACCACACATACAAAGATACCGGAATATAAAACACACATTACTTTAGAGCAAAATACAAAACAATTACTGTAAGATCTACATTATTGATGGAGTATACAGGCTTAGAAGGAAAATCAGATAGGTAAAACTATAAGCCAAAATATTTAAAAATTAGTTTTTTAAAGTTTGTGGAAAAATTGAATTAAAAGAGAAGGAAACTTTTATACAGGGATTGAGACATGGTTGGAATGGGGAAAAGGGGAGAAATAATGTTAAGATGCTTGGCTATCTTTTGAATCTTGCTTTCCCTGGCATACCATTATAAAATAGACACTTGAGGGAGAGAGAAAGGAATAGCCAGAATTTATCACCATAAAAAGCTTGTAAGTCTATCTACTGCCTATAACTGATTGGAATACCTAAAATGGGGCTACAAAGTGCCCAGTTAAGAAGGCTTCCTGCGGAGCCTCTGTATTACATAAGACCATAGGTGGAATACTGAAGAGCATCCAGAATCTTCAGAGGAAGGAAATTTCCATTTGAAAGGACAAGCAGACCATCCTGGAGCAGCTAGAAGTACAAAAGATACTTCTTGAAAGAAAGCCCGACAGGAAAAATACAATATAGGCAGTTCAACTGATGAGTATAAGAACAAGCAAGTTGCTCACCCAGATGATATCAAGGAAAGTGGTCGGGTCCCCTCAGAGCAAACCCCCTTACTAGACTAAGACTCAATGGGAATGCACGGCTCTG